GATGCATGTTCATTTTTTTAAGTATCTTCTTCTTCTTCTTCTTCTTCTTCTTCTTCTTCTTCTTCTTCTATGTGTCGTTTTCCTTCAGGATATGGGCGATCATGGTTAATTTCCTGTCCTTTGCACCTCTGAGTAATGTTATTCTTTTTGCTATCTCTCCTAATCCCTGTTCTGCAACAAACTCATTAAATAGATTACTCGATGCTTCCTTCTTCTTTCACTCTTGCCTTCAATATATCCTGCGAGTGTCAAATTCTCTAACCCTTCTTTACTCATTATGTATCCTAGAAATTTCAGCTGTCTCTTTAAAAGTGCTGACCTGCTATATAATATCAATCCTCCTATATGGCAGTGAATGCTAGACAATTTCATTGATGAAGAAGTGTCTCAAGGCAATAGTGTTGTGAACAGAGCACTCAGACTGTTGATTCTAATTAACAGCTACTATAACACGGCCTTGTGCCAGACTAAGCTAAGCTTGGTAAATATCGACAACTTGCTCGTATATGTAGATTGACGTCCGCTTCAGACCTCACACTGAGGTTGGATAAGGCATCATCTGTTTCTCCCTTTTACACACAGATATCACGACCAAACAGTTCAGAATCAGATAAGAAGATGTGGCCAATTATTTATCAAAAGAACTCGTTGAAAGGTTATAAACTGACATCCATAAAATATATATATATATATATATATATATCGACATACACACGTCGTATATAGGCATTTATTAACATCTGGTTACTCTGAAAGAAGAGTTCAAATAGAGAATGGAGACGAAGATTGTCTTGCGCCTATCTTACAGGCTGGGAGGGCCGCTCATAAAATTTAAGTTCCCACAAACATATATATGTAAACATGTCTTAGAAGCAGTCATAAGTTTTACGAAATAGAAGAGCGTAATATATTTCTTAGTTTTCTAAGTTATCTAGTTTTAAGTTATTTATTTTTTAGAAAACTGTCTTATTTATACTCAGTAGGTTACCTGTCTACGGTTTTCATACGCGGTAGTTCCACTGTCCTCTTTCGACAACGGAAAAAACGTTTTCTACTTCCTGTTTGCACGGGATTCATATTGTTTTTATCAGAATCATAACACTTCTTTATTAAATATTTTACCATTAAATTATATTTTTTCATTCTTTTTAGAACCTTCCAAATTTTGGTTAAACCTTTTGTTTTTCTTGCGTCGGAAAATGACCATAAATTAGTAAAAAAAAATAATACAATAAACCGGATCAAGTTTAGGTTTAGGTATTAGGGGTGTGTTCTGGCTTCTTCCTGTGTAGAAAAGGGGACAAATTAAAAAAAAAAATTAAATAATACAGTCAACTCTTATTTAGTTTCTACTTTACCAAGTTTAAAATATAAAAAAATGTTTCATTGTATTATTTAATTTGTTCTTTTAATTTGTCATTGCTATTCTACACAGAAAAAAAGTTTTATTGTTTTTGTTTAAAGTTTTCTGTTATAAATAAAACTACACTCATAAAAAAAAATTGCTTTACGATATTGCGTAGTGATTTTTTGCACCAAAAGTCTGTAAAAGAAATAAATTGGCCAAAATTTGTGCTTTCGTCGCCGGATGTATTCCGCAGTAAATTACTAAACAGTATGGCAGTAATGGTGGACGAATGACCAACAAGAAGTCCGATATTTTCTTGTCGATAACTCCAAAACGGTAGGTTTCTTCATAATTTAATTGTTAATTCTAGTTAAGCATATACATTTATACGGAATTATGACGATTTTGGAAAATTTTAAGAGATATTTAGCGCGGGCGTTTAAAAGCAAATTTACCGAAATTCTTGCAGAAATCAGATAACTGTCAGATTTAATGAAACTTTCAGGACTTATTCACAAGTGAATGAAATTATTTTTTTAAATGTTTCTTTTTTTGAGAAAATCTTAGAAAATTTTTTTTGCGTCTATTAACTCCCGATTATTTAATTTTATGAAACTTCGAGAAATTCTTTTTTGTAGCGGCTAATGTTTGTACCAATTATAAGGACAAGACCTCGGAAAATTTAAATCATTAATTTTTTAGTCAAAGAGGATGCCCAATTACAGAAAATCTGCTCTGAATGGTAAAATAACAAATACAATAAAACTAAGACATTATTTTACGCACGTCCGCTAAAAAAAAACAGCATAGCGTAACAAAAAAAGGCCCCAAACTTAATAAAAACAAAGTTTTACCGTCAAAATTTTATGTTATTATTAAAAGGAAAGACAAAAGTATTTTTTAATTATTTAAAAAAAATTTAAATCATTCTAACACGTATGAAATTTTGGTAAAAAATCCTGATATTTTAGCTCAGCGCTCAGAAGTAATTTTTACAATTAAGTGTTTTTGTGCATTTTTTTCCAATGAAAACACACTGATTTGGAAATTCTTGCAAAAATCAAATAATTATCGAATTTCAAGGAAACGTTAAGAACTTATTCACAAATAAATGAAATTATTTTTTAACTTTTTTGTTTTAGAAATTCTTGGTAAAAGATTTTTTTGCATATGTTACACCTCATTTACTTAATTTCATGAAATTTCGAGAAATTAAATTGTATGTCCAAACATTTTTTGTATTAGTTAAAAGTAGGATTCCTTGGAGAATGTAAATCACCAATTTTTTTTTTTTCAAATTTTTGCTTATTTTCCGAATGGTAAAGTAAAAAAGGTAATAAAACTATGACATTATTTAATTAGAAAAGCTTTTTATTGCTTTTGTAAATAAGTTATGATCCACAAGGGCATTATTGTTTTAAGAAAAAAATTCGATGAATAATGAATTTTTACAAGAATTTTTAATTTTTAAAAAAAAATTAATTATAATAATTTATCATAATTTAAAAATCGTTTAAAATTCTGCATTACAGTATTTTTAGGTGATATTGTAATTAAGTAGAAACTACATTTACGAATCAAAAATTGAAAAGCTTAATATAAGTCGATTTGCACCAATATTTTTAAAATATTATTTGTTTACTTTAAGTATCCCCATTTTTCATCTATGGCAGTCTGTACGTAACATTATCTTTCTTGGAAAATATAGTGGCGGTTATTTCCTGTTGCTTTCTCCACAGTTAGGAATTCAGGTTTTCCTTCTCTTAGACTGACTATCGCACATGTCTATGCTGTTATTTAGCCTATAACTAAGGGAGAAGATATATATCCATGCTTTTCCCAAGGCCATTAGTACGAATATAAACGCAATAATCTAGGCCGGAATTCGAATTCTGCTCTCCGATTTCACTATCTGTCATGATAAAAGTTTGGGGTAATTCATTTCATTCACGTAAAAATGTTAAAAGACAAGTTGGTGGAAATATCAGGATATTGTCCTTCCAAAAAGAATAAGGATAATTTATTAAAAAATAATACAAGTAAAAATGACTCTCACTTTCCCGCTCGAATGGAATATTATACCAGAGCAAGATTACTCGGGTGCAATATTCCTTTAGAGCGGTCGCGCGGATAACTACTGATTACGTGCTTTGCTTTCATTGTTCCACCTTACTTATTATAAAACGCAGATTGTGTATGTGTGTGTGTCTGTACGTTTATATATTGGATCGGATTTCCTACATTTTTCAACCGATTTCAACAAAACTTCACAGGACTACGTAAAATTACCTTGCGGTGGTTCTAACAGCGCCAGAAAATGGGAAAAACACAATTGTTTTTGCACGAAATCATTTTGAAAACACGATTAAGAATCATCACGAGAATGAAAGGGGGACAACTCAACGGTTGTTTGTGTGTGTGTTCGTTTATATATGGGATCGGATTTCCTACATTTTTCAACCGATTTCAACAAAACTTCACTTTTTTTTTGGCAGGTAGTCTAGCACACATTTTTCTTTATTTTTACATTCAGAATGCTTTAAAAATTCCATTTACAAGACAATTGTTTATAATAAAATTCTATTCAATCGGTAGACTCATAACGATTGAAAACAATGTTTTTGTTTGAGTTTGGGTTTGACCAATTCGTAAAAAAAAAAATAATAATTAAGACATGCGTGTCCGTCAATCTTAAACAATAATCTTTGTCAATTTTATTTTTCAGTCTTTATGATGGTCGATACTTGATCTATCTCTTACTGTTACATCCCCAGGCAACGCCGGGCTCTACTGATAATTTTTAATATTATTGCGTTATATTAACGCGTACTTTATGCACGTTAATAAATAAATTACAATACCTACTTACATGCATACACATATTATACCATAAGGTTTATACTACTGATAATTGGTGACTCTTCTGGCAATTCATAAATAGCGAGACAAATTTACAGTTGGTGATCAAAATAGGAGAGATGATGCTGGTAAAACTGATTGGAAAAGACATGAATTCGTCTTTCCGTCTCCCCAGATATGGGTTAAGTAGCACAATAAATGGATTACAACCAGTCTGAGAGTAAGAAAACTCTGAATTTCAAACTGAGAAGGCAACGAGAAACCATTCCAAGAACTCACCTAAAAAATGCATCGTAATTCACAAATAATAAATAAAACCTAGACGGGAATGATGATTGACTACGTTCTGAAAATAAACACACACACACACACACACACACACACACACACACACACACATATATATATATATATATATATATATATATATATATTACAAATGTCTATAGAAATCATAAGAATCTACAAAAACAAACTGATATCTTGCCATACTACCCAAAATATTTGACCAATTCCAGATAGGCTAATATAAAAAAAGAGTCTGAAATTTACTTCATGCCAACCAAAAGAAAAGTCTTTGTCGCATTTCTATGCTGCCAACAATCTATTTATGTTGTTAGTATCAATTTACAAGTCGATCAACAGATGTCAGTTATTTTTGTCTGTGATGGAAGAAGATATTCGGACAAACGAGGGAGACTTTTTCTTCCATTCTCTTTTGGCCTTTTTATGGTTTATTTTAGAGAAATGCTTACATATGTTCCTAACATGACGATAAATCCTCAGTTTCAACGATATGAGAGAATAGGGAAAAAAGAGGGGTACTTTTTTTATACATTAATAAAGTGGGAGAATCAGATAGATAGATAGATAGATAGATAGATTTTTCACGAAGTACAAGTCCTAAGACCCACTCAAAGTTACTGAATTAGGTTGTTTATTAAAGAAAGAGGAGGAGATAAGAAATTAAATATATGATATGTAGGAAAGATAAAGGTTAAGCCTTAACTTCAAGCGGTTAACAATGCTAGGCTATTGTCCCGGGATAAAAGACGACGGGACTAAAACCTATGTTTGTGAATTTGGTGACATAGTAACTGCGAGTTCAATCCATGGCCCTGTACATGGACTCAGTGGAAACGAGTCAATCAAAAACTGAGTGGGCTAAAATAAGAACTTAGCGAGCATCCATAGATATGGGTAAGGCAACGAGAACAATGTACGACTGTATATTAAATTAAGTGTTCAGTTCGGAATTCCCTGAAGGTTATCCGGATCGACATTAACATGATGAAGGCTGGAGAGCAGGACGATCGAAATGCTGTGGTAATAACAACAAAGCTGTGACAATAGTCCATGTATAAATAATGTAAATAATGCTAACTTTCCATCAAAGAAAGTGAGATATACATACGGAAAGTGACAGATACATGAACAATGAGATATACATACCGTAAGTGATAGATACATCAACAGTGAAATATGCATACGGCAAGTGATAGATATATGAACAGTGAGATATGCATACGGCAAGTGATAGATATATGAACAGTGAGATATGCATAAGGCAAGTGATAGATATACGAACAGTGAAATATGCATACGGCAAGTGATAGATATATGAACAGTGAGATATGCATACGGCAAGTGATAGATATATGAACAGTGAGATATGCGTACGGAAAGTGATAGATATATGAACAGTGAGATATGCGTACGGCAAGTGATAGATATATGAACAGTGAGATATGCGTACGGCAAGTGATAGATATATGAACAGTGAAATATGCATACGGCAAGTGACAGATATATGAACAGTGAGATATGCATACGGAAAGTGATAGATATATGAACAGTGAGATATGCGTACGGCAAGTGATAGATATATGAACAATGAAATATGCATACGGAAAGTGACAGGTACATGAACAATGAGATATGCGTACGGCAAGTGATAGATATATGAACAGTGAGATATGCGTACGGCAAGTGATAGATACATGAACAATGAGATATGCGTACGGCAAGTGATAGATATATGAACAGTGAGATATGCGTACGGAAAGTGATAGATATATGAACAGTGAGATATGCATACGGCAAGTGATAGATATATGAACAGTGAAATATGCATACGGCAAGTGATAGATATATGAACAGTGAATATGCATACGGCAAGTGATAGATACATGAATAGTGAGATATACATCCGATAGCTGATAGTTACATCAACACTGAGATATGCATACGTCAAGTGATAGATATATGAACAGTGAGATATGCGTACTGCAAGTGATACATACATGAACAGTGATATATACACCCGGAAGCTGATAGATACATCAACACTCGTAAATTCATACGAATAGTTATAGATAGAGATAAATATGAATATAGGTAGGTAGATAATATAACACAAATGAATAATTAAAAATACTGGTAAAGACTATAATACAATTTGAAAGTAGCTAGAATGGTACCTAAAGTACCAATCGTGATGTATTCTTGGGCGATCATGTTTGTTTTCGATTCACAATTGCCTTAAAAGAAGAATTTCTACATTAGACTGCTGTTCTTTTGTACGATGTACTGGTTGACAACGAAGGCTATTTCACATCTGTCCTGTTATTTAACTCATATCTTGAGGAAGAATAGATTGATTCACACCTTCTCCAAGGATATTTGCGTGTAAGTGAATGTAACGCGCCAAAACTGGAGTTCAAACTCCACTCTCCGTGTTTTCATTCCGAGCCGTTATGTATCACCCCCCACCCGCGCATGAGGATTACTTTTAACGTGTTCAAAAAAACGTACATACACAATGGGTTGCGTATATAGGTACGTATATATATATATATATATATATACATCCATAAATGCTCACGCATGCATATATATATATATATATATATATATATATATATATATATATATATATATGGACTCTCCTGTCGTATCCGATGTATGAGGTTCACGCAGCTGGTCCTAGGAACCAACAGTCCAGACCCCAGCACATATTTGATTATAGTGGTAAAGGCTTGGTGCAGAACCAATCACACTTGAAGGGCTGAATACAGAGAGCTGGTACACTACGTGCCACAAGCTCCCAAACAATCCTCCGCGAGTTTTGAATTCAGAGTTGCCCTTCTCCTAGAAGCCTATAGAACCCAGTCCGTCCTGCTATTAACCCTAGCTGGAGGGAGAAGAAGATTAATACCTTTCCCAAGGCAAGTGAATGTAATGGAATTCGTACTCGGCTCTCTGATTCCACAATCCACCGTGTATATATATATATATATATATATATATATATATATATATATATATATATATATATATATATATATATATATATAGTAATCCGTTGGTATAAACCAGGCGAGTCCTATTAACACGACATAGAATATGAAATATGTTAAAACTGACTCACAAAAGAGCGCTCAATGTTTATTTTCAATAAACAGAACAAATTTTCTTTGCAATTGAAATTAAGATTTTCACCTACGAATTTTAATGTTAAAATTCGCAGGATTTTTCAAATTCTTTATGGTATCACTTTGTATCCCACTACAAACTGATGCCATAAACAGTTTGAAAAAAATTAAAATTCGTAGGTGAAAGTGGTCATTTACTAAATATATCTTAATTCCACGTGTAAAGAACAGTATATATATATATATATATATATATATATCATATTACTAAAGAACCAATGGGTACACGTGTTTGAAATAGACGTTGCGACTTTTTGCTTTTTTTTAACAATGTGTATTACGTCTATCGGTCTGCGCATTCGAAAAAAATTAATAAAGATAATTACTCTCTACTAGAGTTTGAACTTGCTTTGATTTTTTATATTTCCCTTTGTTTTTCAATATTATGTGCTAGTATTATATAAAGGGTTAATATATGTGATAATAATTACATAATAATTATTAATATTTTACAACAATGTTACATAATAATATACTAGAATATAACTTTTATGATGATTTGTTGTTATATAATAATACATTATGATGTTTATATAGGCTCAATTTTATATATTTATTTTAATTAATTGGTATGATTATGAAGTATTTAGATATTTATAATTATTATAGGTTTATTTAATATATTAATATGTGGTCTATATATTAATATATAATATTGATTTGTGGTATTGAAATGTATTTACTGATATTTTATTATTTGGTTTGATGAAGTGGTATTTGAAAATTTATTTTAGTATAATATTTAAGAAATGTATGTATTTTTTATGCATTATATATTAATAGTTTTTATGTAATATTTAATATATTATTTTAAATTTTTTACTATTAATTAATTAATTAAATTATTATATTTACTTATTGTATAGTGTTATCTTATGAAATTTATTCTAAAGGCACTTCTCCATTTACTTTATTTTCTAATTTTAAGTGTAGATCTTTACTTTTATTTAATCTTCCTCTTGATCGCTTTATTATATTATATATTGAATGATAAATATTAATTATTTTTTCTTTGTAGATGGGGAAGTTTAATATAGGTTTAATTTAAGATATTTTTATTTAAATATAGATGTTAAATTAAATACTTCATCTTAAGATAGATATAATCATTTCAATATTTTAATTTTAATTTATTTCTTTATTATTTTTCTGATATATTCTTTATTTTAATATATCTTTAATTCTGAATTATCTCCCTTTCATATAAATGGGTTTATTTCTAACCTGAATATAAAATTATTTTTGTTAATATATTTAAGAAGGTTTTCTTTAAGTCTAAAATACCTTCAGATTGTTACTGTGTATAAAATAAAGAGGTCATTTTCTTCCTTCACTTTTTCTTTTCCTTTCTCCTCTGACCACCCCTCATATCGAGACATACACTTCTCCCTAGTTTTTATTTGCTCCCTTTCTTTCTTTTCTATTCCTTATCTTCTCTTTTTTGCATTTTTCTTTATTTTCTTCCTCTGTCTGGCTATTTTTATTTCAATAATTCAATCATCCATTGACTGGTCTGAAAATCGATTTACAAGGTGATAATGATCATCATCTAATGTAATCTTAATTCATATTGTATGATATATATATATATATATATGTGTGTGTGTGTGTGTGTGTGTGTGTGTGTGTGTGTGTGCGTGTGTGTGTGTGTGTGTATATACATATATATATAACCGAATGGGTAAATAGATATATAGATATACGAGCGAGCGGTCGTATAGAAATACATATAAATAACATCTCTCTCTCTCTCTCTATATATATATATATATATATATATATATATATATATATATATATATATTAAAATATACATATCTTATAATAATTGCACAATATATATATATATATATATTGTGCAAATATATATATATATATATATATGAAGAGATATAGTTTTAAGGTATGCTATATTTATGGGATAAAGTGCTCAATATCAGAGATAAGAGCGCATGTAAATAAACTAGGACCTTCACAATAACACTACACTCAAAGAAAAATACGGCTTTAAAGCCAAAAATGCCCCCGCCCCGCCAGAAAAAGAATTAGACGTCTTCGAGAAAGACTTAACTGACATAGTTAGAAACATAAAACTCCATTAAAAAGCAAGACTTTTTTTTTTAAGCGTTTCACCCCAAGCAAGGCGAGAAGCCACTAGGACACAAGGGGTTACAGAAAATTTGGAGTAAGATCAGATAGGAGTGATAGAAGAAAGGATGAGGAGAAGGATAGTGGATAGATCAAGGCAACTGGAGATGTCGATTGACATTACATTTGAATAGCTGGAGATTATAACTCTCAGGGAAACTGGAATAGGGGAGGGAGTTCCACGGGCGAGAGGTGCGAGACATGAAGCTATTGGAGTAGAAAAGACGGCTACATTTAGTAGTTTCGACAGTGAAAGGGTGAGAGCGGGATGCCAGCCTCGTAGGGCGCTTGAACTCATGAAGTCTTGAAACCAGAGAATGCAGCTCCTCGGAGCAATTGCCATGAAAGTATTTGTAAAACAGACAGAGAGAGGCGGCAGCGCGTCTGTGAGAAAGTGACTGTAGACGAGATGCCAGAGCAGGGCCAATTATATTGCATATCCGCCTCTGGAGCCTATCAAGAACCCCGAGGCAAACAGAAGGGTCTCCAGACCATATATGGCAACAATACTCCATGTAAGTGCGAATTGTTGATTTGTAGATCTGGAGGATCGTTTCCGGGGAGCACGGGGAGCCAACTTTCCTTGCGGTAGACGAAGCAATTTACTCAATGTATTTGTTCCATCTCAGGTCAGCAGTCAACGTGTGACCGAGCAGCCGCAGAGAGGTGCTCTCGAGAAGTTGAGGGTCAGACATTCTAATGGAGGGCAGGGAAGGATCTCTGTGGTGATTAATAGAGAGCAGTTTTGTTTTTGAAACATTAAAGTTGACCAGTCAATTCCTGCCCCAGTTCACAACCGATTGGAGGTCCTTTTCGAGACGCACGGCCACGTTAGTTTTGTCCGTGACACTAGATTTGTTTTTGAGGCAGGAATAAATTGTGGTGTCATCCGCGTAGATGCCAACTTGGGAATTTGTGGCGTCAGAAAGGTCATTTATGTAGATAAGGAATGGAGCCTTGAGGAACACCTGCGTTCGTGGGATAGGAACTGGAGGAGAATCCGTTGAGAACGACCTTCAATTCACGGTTTGACAGGACTTATTGTATTAGGTCAAACAATCGACCCGTAATGCCATAACACTGGAGCTTGCGAAGAAGGCCGGCATACCAAACCCTATCTAACGCTTTGGAGATGTCTAGTGCCACGGCACGAGCTTCCCCGTTATTTTGAAGAGCTTGGTAGACAGTTTCAGTGATGGCCGTAAGCACATCAGCTGTAGATCGGACAAAGCGCAAGCTATATTGCTTGTCTGAGAGCAGATCATGGGATGTGAGGTGGTTAACCACTTCGGTATTGATTAGGGATTCGAAGACTTTGCCGAAGAGGGGTAGGAGACTGATAGGACGGTAATTAGAAGGGTCAGAGGGGTCGCCAGAGTTCTTGAAGACAGGAACAATCGAAGAGGACTTCCAGCAGTCAGGAAAACAAGATGCATTTAAAAAAAAATAAAAGAAGTTATAACTAAAATAAACAATTCAACAAACGTATTTATAGCATTGGACAAAGCAAGAAATTTATATGAAGTAAGCCCCCCCTACACACAATACATTACTCAAGGACAACATAACTAAATCATACAAAAAACACCAAAAAACAATAGAACACGATATCAGTAAGAAAGCTAAAGCAATCGCCCAAAAATTATACCTAGACGACTGAATA